AAGGACTCACTGTGATGCTCAGGCTGGCCTTCCACCCCTGGTCCTTAGCTAGGTGTGCTCCATACACTGCATCTAACTCGTTTTGTTTTCCCAGGTCAGTGGCTCACAGCCATCTTTGACTCCAACTCCAGAGGACTTAGTGCCCTTGTCACATTCTCACACAAACATACACTATGCATACTTTTTAAATTTATTATTTACACAGTATTCTGCTTGCATGTGTGCCTGCACGCCAGAAGAGGGCACCAGATGTCATTACAGATGGTTGTGAGCCACCATATGGTTGCTGGGAATCGAACTCAGGACCTCTGGAAGAGTAGCCACTGCTCTTAACCTCTAAGCCATCTCTCCAGCCCAAAAAAATTTTAAATAATCTTCTAAAAATGTTTTAAGAGCCTATAGCTTAAAGTTTAACTGATGCCTTGAACACATGTTTATCTCCAATACTTTCCAAGACTCTGCTAAAATAAAAACGTCAAAAGTAACTTCAAGATAAGCAGGTATGGATTACACAGCTGTCATCCCAGCACTCAGGAGGTCTGCTGTGTTCCAGGGCAGCAGGGCTTACACAGACCCTGTCCCAGAAGGAGAGCACCAGGACAAGGACAAAGAGAAGAGAACAAACCGGATCAGGCTGGATTTAACAAGTGTTTTTAATATGGGCAGGCAGGTGGGAAAAGCTTGGCGCAGAAGACACTGACCCTCCCATCAACCTCTTCTCCCCATTTTCACTCACATTATAAGGGAACCATTATTCCTTATAATGCTCCTCAGTCGACCTGAGTCAGGTCGACTCTCCTTGGCAACTCAGAAAGGAGCACCCACAGGAGGTGTCTCCTCTCTTTATCTTTCTTTCAGCATCTGGGAGTGCCTCAGACTTTAGAGGTGCTGCTGCAGAGACAAAGGGGGGTGTGCCACTCACTCACTGAGAACAGCCCACAGCAGAGAGCAGAGATTCCAGGCTGAGCCCCGGAAAAGGGAAGAAACATGAATGCACTCGGGGGAAGCCTTTGCAAGGCTCCCTGAAGCCACTTAGCCACTCCACTGCTCTTCACCAGGCAACAGGTGCTGGGTTCTCTCTCCGGAGAGGCTGATCTCACAAACATCAGCCAGAGCTCAGTGCTTTAGGGAAGCATGGTCCTGAGAACTGAGCAGGGAGGAAAGAGAGGACAGAGGGAGGAAGGACAGAGGAGATGGAAGAGAAAAGAAGGGAGAATGGGGAAGAGAGAAGGCAGGTAGAGGAGAAAGGAGGAGGGGGAAGAGACAGGAAACAGAGCAGGAAGGCAGCGTTCTTGCAGTTACAACGATCTCTTGTGTGCTAAGCAGGGAAGTATCTTAATCCCCTGGAAGGGCAGCTCCGTTCTGACATAATTTCTCCCCAGGACCCACCTCTTATGGACGCTACAGCTCCCCGGAGCACCACACCGGCTGCCGAGATTCCAATGGTTAATCCTTGGGAACAAACTCAAACCACTGACAGCCCTAAACACCTAAACATGAGAAGTGCGCCTCCTACAGAAGAGAGCTAAGTCAAAACAGGAGAAAACAGTGAAAGTCCAGAAGAAAATGTCTTCAGCTGATTAAAAGCCAGAGCCTGCTTTTCAAGAGTGAACACAGTTTTCCAGTGCTGGAGGCCCTGAAGCCCCTGTGTTGGGACTTTCTGTCCTGTTCTTCTAACCGTCACATTTTATGGGTTTTCAAAGGAGCAAGATGTCCCACTGGGGAGGAACATGACAAAATTTTCTCCAATTTCCAAATATACATGTGAGGGCTTCCAACATGGGCCACTTGTCCTAGTATTTAACACTAATACTTAAGGGTCCATTATACAGACTTTTTTAGTATTTTGTGTGTGTAGATAAATACTCATGTCACACATCGTGTAAGAAGGTCAGAGGTCAGCTTGGATGAGTCATTTCTCTCTTTCTACCATGCGGATCCCAGAGATCAATCTCAGCTCATCAGGCTTGGCAGCAAGTGTCCTTACCCACTGAGCCATCTCAATGGCCCCAAGGAAAAAAATACAATTACTGGGGCTGAGGACATAAAGTGAAGAACCTTGTGTGTGTTCGGAGGTAGGAGTGGCGGTGGGGGGGTGGCAAAGGAAAATCCTGTATTCTATCACTAGAGACAATAGACATAAACCTATTCTTCAAAACTGCCACATAAGCAAAGACTGTTGGCATCTCAGCAGGGTTTCAATGGGGTGGAGAGATCCCTACTTCCAACCTAGCCTGCTACAGACAGTTCCAGACCAGCCTTGGACACATAGCAAGATCCTAAAAACAAAATACAAACAAATACCACAACTTCCTTATTTATATATTTCTCTGCCCCAGAAGCATACTTTCAAGTAGGGCCATCAACTCTCACAATTTAAGGCAGTACTCGGAGTTTTTCATGTCATTTCCCAGGCATCTTCTCTACCAAGCCCTGGCTGCCCTGGAACTCGATCTATAGACCAGGCAGGCTGGCCTGGAACTTGGGAGACCCGCCTGCCTCTATCTCCAGGGTCCTGGGATTAAAGGTGTCCGCCACCAAACCCCAGTACTTTCTAAAAAAGCAATTTTCCTCAAATTATGCAACAACTACACAGCTGTATTGTCTGGCAACTTTTTGAATTTTCTCAAAATTTATATTTACTGGGGGGTGGAATGGGGGCACATATTTTAAAGTGTCATATTTTTAAAGTGCCAAGGTCCATGGGACAACTTGCAAGAGTCTGTTTTCTCCTTTCTCCCATCTCCGTCCCAGGGATCCAATCCAGGTTATCAAGCTTAGGAGCAATGTGAAATCATCTTTACCTGCTGAACCACCTCTTTTTGGATCCAAACAACTCACTCCTTAGTTAAAAAACAACTTAAAAATGCACTGTTTAAGCAAAAAGCACTTTGGGATTAGAACTGCAAGAAAAACTAAAAAGTATCATGGTGTTTGTGATAAAGGCCTGCAATGAGACAAGGGCTCGGTGTCTACCTTTGACCTGACCTTAAAGGTTGGACCAGGATGGGCTGAGTGGGTGGACAGTGCTCCTACACAGCTAGCCACAGAGGGAGCTGCTGCAGTTGCAACTCATCTCCTAAGGACAGACCCCTGAATGGAACATCTCTCTCCTCAAAGTCAGTTCTCATGGCAATTTCACCCTAGCCGACGGGTTCCTGGGAAACTGCTGGGATGAGAGAGAAGGGGGCTCCCACCACTGAAAGAAAAAAAAAGGGGCGGGGGGAGCCCAGTGCTGTAGGGAAGGAGTTAAATGGCTCTCATCTTCACTAATATTTTAAACATTAGAAAATGCTGCTACTGAAAGGAGCAAATAAGAGCACCTCATCAACTGCACTGACCACTGTGTAGAAATCAGTGCTTCATCAAAATGGGGACTGGCTGTTGACTATTTTCTTAAACTGAAGAAGACCATCATCTTCAGTTTAAGGCTTTGCTAATAAAGAGCAACCAACACTTTGGCGGGCTTCTCAAGCCAGAAGAGATTTTTATGAATTCTCAAAGACGAAAAGGAGAACAACTCAGCCTTCAAAACTTGTTCAGTATCTCCAACATCCGTGGAAGTCGGACGCTAGTGAGAGGACCTAGCACTTTAGGAACACAAAGATGACAACCAGTAAGATGGCTCAGCAGGTTAAAAAAAAAAAACAAAAAACGTACTTCTGCCAAGCCTCACGACTTGAGTTCAATCCCAGGGACCAACATGGTGGAAGAAAACAAAAACAAAAAAACCGATACCCAAGAAAGTTGTCCTCTGACCCCTAACGTGCACCACAGCACGGGAGCAGACACAGACACATACGTAACAAATGTAATTAACTGTTTTAAAATGACACAACCGAAAAAAACAGTTTACGGTCCATCATAATCTGAAGAATTAAAACGTGTGAAAACGAGAGTTGGAAGGCCGATGAGGAAGTGCAGAAAAACAAACAAAAAAACAAGCAAATCAGAAAACCACCTTCTGTCCACATGCACGCAACCTGCCCGCGCTGTAGGCAGGTTCCGTGTAGTCACCCCGGTTCCACCCAGGTAAAGCTGGAGCGACGAGTCCCCCGGGGCAGGAAGCGAGCGAGAGGCACCTGGCCACACCGGCTCGAGCCGCCGGAGGTGCAGGAAAAGCAAAGGTGCAGTCAGAGCCCCCGGACCCACCCGCCTCGCCCAGTCACCTTCTGCGCGCTGGAGCCTCGGACCCGCGCCGTCCGGTCATAGACGTGGCAGCGGATCACCGTGCTGCCCACGTCCAGCCCCAGCACGAAGCGAGAGGCCGGCGGGGCCGGCGCGCTCGGCGCCTCACGCCGCCGCTCCGCACCCGCCTGCAGCCCTGACATCGCGCGACCCCACGCACGGCAGGCGCCACGGGCCGGCCAGCGCCGAGCTATAAACGCCGAAGCCCGGGCGGAGCGCGCGCGCGGCCGGACACCGCCCCCGCCGCGCCCTGCCCCGCCCCTCCGCGACTTCGGCCACGCCCCTTCGCGAGACCCCGCCCCTCCCGCTCAGCCCGCTCGCCAGGCCCCGCTCCGCCCCCCCGACTCCCCGCCCCCTAGCCCCGTGACGTCAGGGCCGCGCGCCCAGCGCCGCGTGGGAACTGGGCGAAGATGGCGTTGGCGGCGGCGGTGTGGGCGCCTGTCACCCACCGTTCAGCGACCGTTACTTTGAAACGTTGAGTTCCCTTCTAACCCAGATGACTTTTGTTTAGGATTGTCTGTTAGGACAAAAAAAAAAAAAAAATCAAGTGACGTGACAAGGACAAGAAAGTCCTTGAAGTTTTTCTTCTAGATCAATGTGTTTCGCCTGCGATTATGTATGCGCTCCACGTGGGCCCCGTAGAGGTCAGAAGAGGACGTTGGTTGTGACCTGCCATGTAGGTGATGGGCACCGAAACCCAGTCTTCTGCAAGAGCAACAAGTGCCCTTAACCACGAGCCATCTCTCCAGTCTCAAGAAAAAACGTTCAGTCAAAAGGAAAAGAGAAAAGAGCTTTTCTGTCCAGAAAAGCTTGCATGTACAATACACAACAGTAAATAGAGTCCAAGTCTTGTACGGCACTAAAGGGCCTTTGCCGACACCGAGAAAGAAAGAAAGCTTAGATTTCGTAAACATGTCTTGTCCTTAACTTGTCAGTTTAAAGGAATATTTTTGTTGTTGTCCATATTACCCTGTTAGCCTACTTGCTTGTCACAAATTTGTCCAAATTGGATTTAGGATATGTTGCTTGAACCTTTAATGTGAACTCCATGTTTTGTTGTTGTTTTTAAGATTTATTTATATAGTATACAGTATTCTGCCTGCATGTGTGCCTGCAGGCTGGAAAGAGGGCACCAGATCACATTATAGATGCTTGTGAGCCACTGTGTGGTTGCTGGGAATTGAATTCAGGACCTTTGGAAGAACAGCCAGTGCTCTTAACCTCTGAGCCATCTCTCCAGCCCCAGAAAACTTGTTTGTTTGCTTGTTTGTTGTCTTAGTGGGTGTTGGGAATTGAACCCTGGTCTTCTGGAGGAGCAGTCAGTGCTCTTAACCTCTGGGCCATCTCGTCAGCCTCCTCCGTGTTTATTTTTGTCTGTTTGTTTGCCTCTCTCCTTATTGTCTGTCCCTACACAATACCTATTTGCTCCATTTGCCTCAGGTCTGCCCTTCCATTGCTGACCGTTCACGAGTGTGTCTGTGACTTCCCAGCATGGCTTACGTGACTAATAGTCCTATGCTGTTCTGGTTTCCCTGAGAAACTGAAACCGAACAAATTCCAGAGGCAAGACAGAGCCAGAGCCTAAGAGCCACAGCCTAAGCCTGAGCTTGTTCCTCAAGGCAGTCTCACTAGGACCTAGGGCTCCCTGGGATTATGTATGCTCTTAGCATAGGTGCTGGGCATTGGACTCAGTCCTCATGTTTGACTGAGCCATCTCCCGGAGCCCCTGAGGGGAAAGAGGCTTTGAGGAATTTGGTATTCCAGTTGTAGGGCCAGGTAAGCCTGGGGACTGGTAGAGCAGGCTGGCAGCCTGGAAAACAAGGCACATTTTTGTGCTACAGTTTTGAGAATTTCTCTTTTCTGAAGCCTGCCCAGCTGCCAACTAATTGGGTGAGGCTCAGTCACATTTTGGGGCACTCTCCTTAACTTGGGGTCACTGGTTTAAATGTCAATTATGTCTAAAATACATCTCCTACAGCAACATGCAAATAGCCTTGCATACTGTTAGCATACATACTGTTAGCTCTAGCTTACCTGCTTACAACTAAGAAAAGTTCTGTGTGACCAGGGTAGATATTGGGCATATTTCTCACCGGGATATTTCTTGGAGTTCTTGGACTTCCGTATTTTGTTATCATTTTCATAAGTTTAAGCATCAGCTATGCTTAAATGTGAAAGTCCAGAATTTAAAAACTACTTAATCTCAGATTATTTATTTGTTTCTTTTTCAAGACAAGGTTGCTTCCTGTAACAGAGTCCTGGCTGTCCTGGACTTGCTTTGTAGACCAGGCTGGCCTCACAGAGATCTATCTGCCACTCCCCCACCCCCTCACCTCCACCCCCCGCTGGGATTAAAGTGGTGGGCCACCACACCTGGCCCATCTAGGAAATTTTAAACAATTTTCTAATGTTTGTTTTATTTCTCATGAGATGGAGTTTTATTGTATCAGAGGCTGGCCTAGAACTCAAGGCATTCCTCCTACCTCAGCCTCATATTGGGATTATAACAATGTGCCACCAGGTCAAGATTTGTTTTCTGATTTCAAACAAATCGGAAACCTTGATGAATACCGTCATCCGAAGAAAATGTGGTCTTTTGGAATATCATTTATCCTTTGGTAACTTCATAAATGCATACAGTATCTTTTTTATGTTATGGACATTGGTGTTTTGATTGCATGTATGTCTGTGTGAGGGTATCAGATACCCTGGAACAGGAGTTGCAGACAGTTGTGAGCTGCCATGTGGTTGCTGGGAAGTGAGCCCAGGTTCTCTGGAAGAGCAGTCAGTGCTGTTAACTGCTGAGCCATCTCTCCAGCCCACAGTATCTTTTTAAAACATATGTGTATGAGTGTAATACATCACATGTGTGCCAGGTGCCCTTGGAGATTAGAAGAGGGCATGAGAGCCCCTCAAACTGGAGTTGCAGATGGTGCCATGTCAGTAGCTGAGAATGGAATCCAGGTCCTCTGTACAGGCGATAAGTACTCTTAACTTATTGGAACCAACACTCCAACCCCATACAATTGATCTTGATCATATTTACCCTCAATTCTTTCCCAGCATCTCTCAGCATGACCCCTATCCTCTTCTCCTCTGCTCTCCCTAGCTCACTGAGTTCATTTAGAGCTGCCTGCCGGGCCATTGACTGATCTTGTGCAAGTCAGTCACCAGCAACAGTGAGGTCATGAGTGCAAAAGCCATGCCATGTCCAGAAGGCTGCATTTCACAGCATCCCTTCCCATTCTCCTACTCTTGCGTTATTTCTGGCCCGTTTTTTATGGTGTTTGATGAGGCTGGGAAGAGGGGTGTGGTATAGCTATCCTATTCAGGGCTGAGCACACTTTTCAGGTTTTTTTTTTAATTAGTTATGAGTCTGCATTGACTAATTAAAAGATGCTTCCCTAGCCAAGGTTGACAGCAACACTATACAATGTCTATAACTATAAATATTTAGGAAGCAGTTTGACAACATGAGCGTTTAACAAAACAACCTACATAGGTCCTCCTCTAGGGCATATCATCTCAGCCATGGACTTTTGCCCAGATTTATAGTATCACACATGAACTAACCTCCTGTGAAACAGGCCTCAAATCCAATTCATAACCTTTATGGCACTATTTTCCTTTTATCTAGCATCGTGGTGTTATAGCATTCAGAATTCATTGTGAGTAATACCATTGATGATTTTTCTCCTCTGGCAGTGCGCACAGCTCCTTTCTTCCATCACTATGAAAGCTAACCATCAGGAAGGACATCTTTAGATCAGTCTAGCTTGAAATATCCATGTCCTACAACCAAAGTGTGCTCTGTCTCCAGCAATAGAGCCTTACCAAATAGTAGGTAACCAAGAGCAATGGAAAGAGCCTGTAGATTCTTAGATAAGGCCAATTTTGGTTTGGTTGGTTTCTCTGAGACAGGGTGTGGTGGTTTGAATAAGAATGGCGGGATAGGCTCATATATTTGAAAGTTTGGTCACCAAGGAGAGGCACTTCTTGAGAGGGAATAGGAGGTGTGGGTGGCCTTAATGGAAGAAGAGCATCACTCTGGGTGGGCTTTGGGGTTTTAAAAGCTCGTGCCAGGCCCAGTGTCTCTCTCTCTCTCTCTCCTTGCTGTCTAGGGATCTGGATGTAGAACTCTGAGCTCCTTCTGCAGCGCCACGGCCTGCATGCTGCCATGCTCCCCATCATGCTGATAATGGACTAACCCTCTGAAAGTGTAAGCCAGCCCCAATTAAATGCTTTATCTTGAGTTTCCGTGGTCATGGTGTCTCTTCACAGCAATAGAACACCAACTAAGACACAGGATCTTCTGTATCTCACGGCAGCCTTGAACTGACCATGTTGTCAGGGATCACTCTGTACTCTTAATTCTCCTGCCTGTGCCTCCCAAAGTGCTGGCATTACTTACTGGCAGGCACTGCCTGCGCATAGCTACAAACAAAATCTCGCCCACAAGTTTAGATATTGTCAGGGAACTTAAACACAGGACTTATTAAAACAGGACTCATTTAAAAATCGCCCACTGCCCTCACAGGGCAGACCGCTCCCTGAAGAGGCTTGGAGAAGTAAAGGGTGCTGTGCTTCCCCCAGGTTCATCATTTTTAATCAGCACTTCTCATCCTGCTTTGCCCTGCAGCACACAAGGCTCAGATGTTCCTAAATGGCCTTTGCCAGAGGGACAGGTCAATCCGTTGTCCATTAGTCAGAAGCCACTGCTTCCCATGGCCCTAACTCACATCTGTCCTGGCTACCCCCGTCTCCTCAGACCTGGCTCTTCTCCCAGGCTCTTTCCCCACCATCACTTCTTACACTTTATCCTCTTACCACAGCCTCAGGATTAAAACTCATGTAGCCTTCTCCCACACACTGAAAGAAAGAACTTGGACACATTCCCCAAGGCTAAATCAGGTCATCATTTCTTCATATTCCACAGAGAAATGGACAATAGAGAGTTCTTGATGGCCTTCTTTCTTCAAGGGTCCTTGTCATTGTCCCTCTTTTATTGACCCCTGCTTTCTGAGGACAAAGGAATGTCTTGGAACACAAGCCAAAGCAAACTGATGCCCTATGCCTCCCAGAGCTTCAAGGCCAGATCAAGGTGATGCTTATTGTACTCACTTTTGCCCCCAGCTTCCCGATATGATTTACTAAAAACGTTAATGAGTAGATGTGCACCCCGAGGACTTAAGGTAGAAATGACTATCTGTTTTTTTATATATATAAATGTTCAGATTTGTGATTCTTTTAAGATTTTTACAAGATTACTTTTTAAGATAAATAATAAAACAACTGATCCTTTCTTTGTAACCAAGAATTGCAGCCTGCCAGTAAGAGAAACTGACTGAAAAAAAAATTACCTTGCTTGCTTACACTTCGTTAATCTATAACAAAGTTGCTTAGTTACAAAATGTATGTGGGTTCTTGGGAAGAATGTATTTTTAGTACATAATACGTAAAACATTTGAACATGCAAAGGTATTGGGGAACATGATTTTCTACATATAGTCATTAAAGAAAAATAGGATGTAACTGCATTGTGATTTTTGCATTGCTTAAAAGATTTTGCTGGGGACTGGTGAAGGGGCTGTCGGCGCCATGTCCAGCCGCAAAGGTGGCAAAAAGAAGCCCCTGAAACAGCCCAAGAAGCAGGCCAAGGAGATGGATGAGGAGGACAAGGCTTTCAAGCAGAAACAGAAAGAGGAACAGAAGAAACTCGAGGAGCTGAAAGCCAAGGCCACGGGGAAGGGGCCCCTGGCCACAGGTGGAATTAAGAAATCTGGCAAAAAATAAGCTATTCCTCGTATCTGAGGTGATGGTGACCCTCTTCCATTCCTATTTAAACATCTGGATCCCCTGCCATAACATCTTTGCCACCTACAGCTAGAATGAAGTGTTATCCTGGAGCCTATTGTAATTGTGATAAACTTTTGTAGTAAAACAAATACAATGGCTCATTGTCTCTAGTGTTCAGCAATTCCTACCTCAGCTCTGAATGGAAAGAAAACCCAGGCCAGAGCCTGCTGTTTCATCTTTGTTGTACTTGGAATTCTGTATCACTTTGAATTAAACCAGCCCATTTAAAAGAAAAAAAAAAAAAAAAAGAAAAAAAAAAGATTTTGCTGGGATATCTAAGCTGCGTGAGAAAAACTTGTTAGAGCATGTTCCTTGGAGTCTGCTCCATCCACCCGATGTGCATATGTGTACATATGTGTATATGTGAGGTTGGTTGGAGCTTTGCTCCATCCACCAAATATGTGTATATATATGTATGTATGTATGCATGCATGTATGTGTATGAGAGAAGTTGTTGGAGCTTGTTGAAGCTTGCTTCATCCAACGTGTGTGTATGTGTGTGTGCATGAATCTCTCTTTCTCCCCTTCTTCTTTTTGCTGGCCCACAAAGAGTTTCTCACCGGCTCCAGGGAGCACTTCGCTGAGCCCAGTGACAAGCATTGTTCCCTCAGAGAAAGTCTGCTGAGAGACCGGTCGCTGGTGCTCTGCCTCACCTCAATTTACCCTGACCCGTGGAAGCTGGTCTTTGACACTCCCTCTTCTACACACCTGAGTGCTGGTCCACAGCGCTGCCATGCACGCACCCAAGGGCAGCAGAACCCACTCCTCACCAGAAGGAGCCCCTCAGCCCTAGCGAGCTGAGGTTGGGCCAGTCCCCTCAGCCAGCTGAGTACTGTGTTGTTCAGCCCTGGTTTCTGGATGGAGCAACTCCGTGAGCAGGGGTGTGGGGAGGAGGGGAGTGGGGGGTGTTCCCAAAGATGGTCAGCTTGCTTTCCTTTTCTTCCTCCTGCTCTATTTCTTTGTTGTTATTTTCTTTTTCCTGTGTGTGTGTGTGTGTGTGTGTGTGTGTGTGTGTGTGTGTGTGTGTGACGGCATCTTTGTATCTCAGCCTAAATTCAAACTCATGATTCACTGGCTTCAGCCCAAGAGCAGAAATCACAGGTGCTCACCTTGATCTAGAGGCCACTGCTTCATTGATCTTCACCAGCTGATGGCCTTAACCTTCACCCGACCTGGCTACTGCTTCTCTGCTTCTGGGCTTGGCTGCTCTCCTGGCTCTTTCCTCACCATCGTCACCTTTCCTACTCTATCCTCTTTCAGCAGAGCCAGGATTACAGCTCAGTGTACCAACCTTCCATGGTGCTCCAGAAAGTTAAACAGAGTCCCTCGCACTGGGTCAGACAGACGCCATCCCAATCGCTACAGTGGAGCCCACCTTTAAGTCCCCCCAGAACCCAACACTGGACCACTGCTTTGCTGCAGCAGGAAATGGCACGACCTGTAAGTGATGGGAGCAAGATTTCTCCCTAGTCAGTAGTTCTTTGGGCATCTTGAACTCTTCTCTCTCTCCAGAGGCAAGAATTAGAGCTTGGCCTGCCACCCTGATAAGACTGCATAAAATCCAACAGTGGGGCTGGCTTTCAGCCTTGAAAGAAACTTGAATAGCTACAAGGTTTCATCCTGTTCAGACCCTCAATAACCCTGGAGAAATTTTGCTGTTTCTTGTAGTTGATCTTTGGGGAGACTTCAACAGGGTTACCCTCTAATCTAAGGGAAACCAGAGCCACAGCAGCACACCTGCCCTGTATAGCTGCCCATCTCTAGGCCCCTGAGAAGCATCCAGCGTCAGACATATGAGCAGGCTCATTCCTCAGCTCTTAAGGGTCTTCCTTCCTGAGGTGTATTAAGTGACAGGAAATCCCTTCATCCACTGACTTATCGGTATGGAGTGGTGGGAGGGAAGGAGACAGGCAGCGTGCAGGCCTGTGAACCGGCTTCTTAAGCTTAGGAACACTCAGCGGCTGGTTATCAGAAAGGCGTTGCTTGAGGGAAGCACTTGCCTCTTGTTCTCCTCTCAGGGACAAGGCTTTTCCAAGGAGGAGCTGAGGGGGAATGAGCGCATGGCTCTGAATATACAAGGCACACAGCCCAGTCTGATCATTTTCAGTGTACATAACTTGTCTTTGTATTTGAAACAGGGGACAGCCCAGCAATTCTCTGCCTCCCAAGTACTGAGATAGCAGGTGTGCCCCGCACCCCCATGCCGGGCCAGTTACATATGTGTGGGGTCCAGCACGTGCGTTAATAACGCTTCTCATTGCTTCAAGAAGACTCCTGGAAGAAGGGGGAAATATGTATTTTGGCTCATAGTTTCAGAGGCATGAGCCAATCGAAGGTGTGATGGCTAACATCGATTGTCGGCTTGGCAGGACCTGGGGTTAACCAAGAGACGTCCCTGTGGGCAGATCTGTTAGGGCATTCCTGGAAGGGTTATTTGGAGGGCAAGACCCTCTGGCCCCAAGAGAAAGTTTGCGGGCCATCGCTCTGCCTTTGCCAATTGCTTGTGCGTCTTTCCTTGGCTGCAGACTGTAGCGTCTTCGGTTTTCCACCATGAACAGAAGACCCATGACTCCCCAAGACGCCCTCCAGGCCTTCAGGGCTTTCAGGGCCAGACTGAGACTGCTGAGGCCCCCAGCTTTGTGGACTGAGCAGCTGTTGACTTCTCAGCCTCTCCAACGTGTACATGGCTATTGCTGGACCATCCAGTCTGCAGGATGTAAGCCATTCCAATACAACTCCAGATATATATATATATATATATATATATATATATATATATATATATATATCCTCTGTCTGTTCTGTTCTGTCTGTCTGTTCTCTAGAGAATCCTGCCTAATATGCATGCATGGTGAAGGTGTGAATCAAGGCATAGAGAAGCATAGACAAGGCAAAAGGAAGGGGTCCAGGACAGGGAACCAGCAGGATCTGCTTCCAGTGACTACGTCCTCAAATGAAACTGCACCCCCCCAAAATTTCAGAACCCCAAATGTTACTACTAGCTGAAGGTGAAGTGTTCAAAACGTGAATCTTGGAGACACATTTCATACTAAAACTCTAACAGTGCGGTAATTCAGCATAAGGAAATGCAAACCAAAATGACAATGAGGCTTTGTCCGAAATGGCTCTCATCAAAGGACAAAACTAACAAGTGCTGGTGGGAACGTGCAGGAAAATGAACTCTCAACCCAGGTGTACACCTGTAAGCCCAGGACTTGGGAGGTGGAGGCAGGGACATCAGGAGCTGGGAAGCACAGGTTATGTGATCCCATGTCTCAAAACCAACAAATGAGGATAAACGCTAGACTTTAACTGAAAGGAAACGGCGGGTGTGGTGGTGCACGCCTGTGATCCCAGTATTCAAGAGGCAGAAGGAGAAGAATTGCAGCAAATTTAAAGCTAGCCTCCAGTACATAACAAGTTCCAAGTCAGCCAGGGTCTTTAAAACAAAAGGAGGGAGCGTGCAGATAGCTCCTTTGGTAAAGTGCTCGCCTTGAAGGCATGAGGGCCCATGTTGAATTCCCAGAACTGTGGGACCATGTGTGATCCCAGTGCCAGGGAGGCTGAGACAGGGGAATCCACAGGGCTAGCTGGCCAGCCAGCTCAGGCCAGTGAAAGACAGCATCTCAGGAAAGCAGGTAGCCAACCCCTGAAGAATGTTCATGTCTGCTCTCCACGCACAGGAGCAAACACATGTAAATACATACCCATGTGCGCGCACACACACACACACACACACACACACACACACACATACACAGTGGGTGCAGAACAAAAGAAACTACCGTTAATCGTTACTTAAGTCTCTGCTAAGCCAGCTGTGGCTGCTGGAAGTACTTGGGAAGCTGAAGCAAGACAATTGCCACAATCACCATGTCCCCAGCCTGGGGTGGAGGGAGACTGTCTCACAAAACGGAAAAAAAAAAAAAAGTCTGGAGGGAAAGGGTGGGTAGAGTGTTTCTCGTGTTTGAAGTCCTGGGCTAGGTCCCCATCACCACATACTAAGTGTGGTAGCACATCTCCTCAAAATACAACAGTTGCTGCTAAGACCGAATTAGCAAATATCGGACCATTTCTCTGAGAAGAAATTTGAGATTAGCTTCCCATAAGCCTTTGGTCCCATTTTTCATCATGTAATCAATTCCTAACCTTGTTTCGTGCTTGCTTCTGTCTAAAGGCAGATATCAAACAAGTCTCGTTGAGGTATCATGTAGAAGCCACTGGAACGTGGGCAAGCCTGTCTAACGAGGGCATTTCCTCACACAGGACACAGCCTCTTTTTTGGGGGTGGGGTGGGGAGGGTCTGTTTTGTTCGAGACAGGGTCTCAGGTGTTTCCCTGTTGTCTTGGACTTGCTGTGTAGTCAGGAATAACTGCCGGTCTTCTTAATCCTCTCAAGTGTCAAGATTATAGGTATGGATTACCCCAGCAGCCGCAGACTTCTTTTTATGTTCTTATTTATTTACTGGTGGGGAGGCGTGAACAGCACTGCAGGTGTGAAGGACAAAGAGCATCTTCTGCTTCTCTCCGCTGTGTGGGTCTCAGGGATTGAATGCAGGTTGCCAGCTTTGGCAGCAGACACCTCACCCTGTGGAGCCCTTTCTCTGGCCCAGTACAGTTTTCTTAAGTTAAGGGCAGTAGTGAGAATTTCAGAAGGGAAACTTGTTTGCAAGCACTGAACTCTGGAGGGGAGGACTGTACCCAGGGATGCCGTGGCACCTTTCCCAAATGTCTATTTTCTAACCAAAGGAAATCTACAAGGCATGGAGAGAAGCAGAAGGGAATGACCTACCCACTGTGAGAAATGAAGCAACAGAGATAGTTGTGAGAGGTTGTACTGAGAAGAAAAGACTATGTTAGAAACATATGAAATGTCAGGCCAAGTAAAGAATGTCAATAAAGTAGAAAGTATGAAAATGTAGCCAGTGTTTGCTACTTTGTGGGTTCCTTTTTCATT